GGGGGGGGGTCCTCCTTAGTCCTTGACCCAACCCCATCTCCTTTGCTTTACACCCCGATCTCTCTCTCCCCCCCTTCTTCTGGCGATGTGCCAGGATGTTAAGAATCCCTCTGCGTCCCATCCCCCCCCACCGGGAATCGCCTGTCTCCCAACGAGCCTCTAAGACCCCATCTTTCCTCTCGCCACTTCCCCTCCCTTATGTTTTCCCCCCCACCCCTTCCTTGGAGTCTTTTGGAGTCCGTCCTTTCTGGGAAGCCCCCCCCATTTAGCCTGGGTGTGTGTGTGGGGGGTGATGGCTAAGATCTTGGGTGGGGGGTGTTGGCTAAGATCTTGGGGAGTTGGCTGAGCCCGCGTTCCCCCCCCCCGCCCCGGGGCAGCAGCGGTCGCCCAGGAGCCCTTCTGGGCGGACTTGCAGCCGCGCGTGGCGCTGGTGGAGCGCGGGGGTTCGCTGTGGCTGAACTGTAGCACCAACTGCCCGCGGCCGGAGCGCGGCGGCCTGGAGACCTCGCTGCGTCGGAACGGCACCCAGAGGGGGCTGCGCTGGCTGGCGCGGCAGCTCGTGGACATCCGCGAGCCGGAGAGCCAGCCCGTCTGCTTCTTCCGCTGCGCGCGCCGCACGCTCCAGGCGCGTGGGCTCATTCGCACTTTCCGTGAGTTTCCGGGTGGTCACGAGGCGACTCCACTACGCTTCCTCCCCTTCCAGGCCCCACCCTCGGGGCGGGGCGAGGAGGAGGAGACGACGCGAGCTCCTCCCTCCCCGGGGGCTCCACCCCCTCGGAGGCCCCAGGCCCTCCTCCCCAGCACCTTCCCACCCCAGCTTGTCTCCCCAAATCCCAGCGTTTCCCTCCTCCCCCCCCACCCCCGATTACAGAGCGACCCGATCGCGTGGAGCTGGTTCCGCTGCCTGCCTGGCAGCCCGTGGGGGAGAACTTCACCCTGAGCTGTAGGGTCCCCGGCGCCGGACCCCGGGGAAGCCTCACGCTGTCTCTGCTGCGGGGCACCCAGGAGCTGATCCGCCGTGGTTTCTCCGGGGAGCCGCCCCGAGCGCGGGGCGCGGTGCTCACCGCCACCGTCTTGGCGCGGAGGGAGGATCATGGCGCGAATTTCTCCTGCCGTGCCGAGCTGGATCTGCGGCCGCACGGCCTGGGATTGTTCGCAAACAGCTCAGCCCCTAGAGAGCTCCGAACTTTCGGTGGGTCGGTGGAGAGCCCTCCCGCGCGGGGCGGGCGGGTGCGCGAGGCCGCTGGGCACGGCCTGTCCGTCCTGCGTCCCTGCGCAGTTCTGAAGCTCACCCTCTGCTCCCCCCTCCACCCCCCAGCTCTGCCGCTTGACCCCCCGCACCTCACCGCTCCCCGGCTCTTAGAAGTCGGCGCCGAGAGGCCTGTGAGCTGCAGCCTGGACGGGCTGTTTCCAGCCTCCGAGGCTGAGGTTTACCTCGCGCTGGGAGACCAGAGGCTCAGTCCTGATGTCACCCTCCAGGGCGACGCCCTGAGGGCCACCGCCACCGCCACCGCCGGCCACGAACACGAGGGCACTAGGCAGCTAGTGTGCAACGTGACTTTGGGGGGCGAGAGCCGCGAGACCTGGGAAAACGTGACTGTCTATAGTAAGAGCCATTGAGGCGGCTGGGGGTGGAGCTAGAGGAACGAAGGGGCGTGGCGAGGAGTGGGCGGTGCCCGGAGGCGGGGCCTCGGTTTGCCTGCAGCCAATGGGAAGGTTCTGGCGAGCAACAGGCGGGGCTTAACGGGTGGGCGGAGCCTATCCGTGCAGGCTCCCAGCCAATGCCCGCCCGCAGGCTTCCCAGCGCCCCGCCTGGCGTTGAGCGACCCTAACGCGCCCGAGGGGCATTTGGTCACCGTGACTTGCACTGGCGGGGCTCAAGCGCGGGTCACGCTGGAGGGAATTCCAGCGGCTGTCCCGGGACAGCCGGTCCAGCTGCAAATCAACGTCACCGAAGACGACGACAAACGTGACTTCTTCTGTGATGCCGCCCTCGAGGTGGACGGGGAGACGCTGAGCAAAAATGAGAGCGCCGAGCTTCGCGTCCTGTGTAAGTCGGTGCCAACCCCTCGCCCCGCCATCCCGGGCGACTCCGAGGACCTGCCCGGGGCGGGGAGGAGCGGGGGCCGGGTCCTGACCCTTCCGTGGACGAGGGGATCATTGCAAAAGAGCCACCTGTGTCCCACGTCCCCGCCCGCAGATGCTCCCCGGCTGGACGACTCCGGCTGTCCCAGGAGCTGGACGTGGCCCGAGGGCCCCGAGCAGACGCTGCGCTGCGAGGCCCGCGGGAACCCCGCACCCTCCGTGCACTGCGCGCGCCCCGACG